GGCTGCACGCGGTGCCGCTGCCAACAGCTGCTGGCGCGGCATTCCCAGCAGTGGGGCTCGGCCCCTGCTTGGCTCCTCTCTGCAGCCGAGCCCCAGCTGTGCCACATCCCCCTGCACCCCGTGGGGCTGCGCTGGGGCCGCCGAGGCCGGGGCTCGCGCTCCCCGCTGGCCCCCAGCCCCAGGAGAGAGCCATCGGCACGGCTGCTCCGCCTGCGCCCGCCCAGCACTGAGTGCAGCCGCGCAGCCTCTGGGGCAGATTTATTACCCTTGGCAGAAGGCCTAAAGGCCAGCTGGTGTTTGGGCCGTTTCCAAGGTTTCCAGTCACCGCTGGAAGTTCTTCATCGCCTGCTTCCCCCCCCCCCCCCCCGTACAATATGTGGGAATTGGGTTCCTGGGACGGGACCCGGCTGCTGGAGCCACCCGGGGGCTGCCCACCCACTGCGGTGCTCTTGCTCCCCGCTGCTGGTGATGCCCAAAGGCTCTGCCTTCACCCTCAGCATGGGCTCTGCTCAGGGCTGGGACCACACGGAAGGGTTTGCAGTCACCCCACAAAGCCGGGTGCTGCCTGAGCAGGGTGCTGCGTGCCTGGGACTCCCGCATGGCCGCCCCTGCACCCTGAGGCTGCAGGCAGCCGGAGGGAAGCTCTGGGCTCTGGAGGCCTTGGAGGTGGCTTTGGCACCTGTGGAGCACCTCGGGGTGCAGGAGGAGAATGAGGCACAGCTTACACAGCCCTGGCTGGCATGGGGTGGCTGGGATGGGTGGGAGGGCTGTGCCGTGGCCGGTCAGGGTCACTGCCCAGAGCAGGGCTGGTGGGGCCCAGCAGAGCCCCAGGAGGGGTACACACAGGCTGTGGGCACGGTGCTGGCACCGTGTCCCTGCAGGAGCCATTGGCCCCAACCCCAAATATTTTGGCAAAGCAGCGCTGCCTCCCTCCCGGGGCTGGGAGGAGCCAGGGCGGTATCACACCAGCGGGGCCAGGGGAGGTGCGCTTGTGTGCGAACACAGCCCGGACGCGCCGCAGCACCTGCAGCTCCTTGCTGAGCTCAGCCAGAGCTCAAGGCAGAGGTCCTCGGCCCTGCACTGCCTGTAGGATGCTGAGCTCTGCAACGCGACAGCACCTGAGAAGCCTGAGGTTTGCAGGATGCCGGCAGTCCGGCCGCGCTGCCGCTGAGCCCCCGCCCTGGGCTCCGGTGCCACCGCCGACGTTGGGCAAGCAGCGGGCAGAGGCAGAAGCGGACGAACTTGTTTGTGGTTCCTAAAAGACAAACCCAAACAGAAACAGAAATCCCAGGAGCAGATTTAGGGTGCTCCTCCTCTGGATCCTCCTGCTGCTCAAGCAGGAGCTCTGCAGGGACTGAATTTCAGCTGGCTGAGTCCATGGGACCTGGCTCTGGCACAGGGCTGGGGGTGCTTGGGGAACCTCTGCCATTCAGGAAAAAACTCTGGTCAATCAAAATCACCAAAAATGCTGGTTCAGACCAGGTTCTTTTCATGGGGTTACCTCAGCTGGCTTTGTCCCTGGGCTCATTGATGTGTTTTTGGGGTACCCCTGATGTGGCCGGGTTAGTCACAGGCCCCAGGGGCGCGGACAGCTCAGCGCACCCGGCCCGGCCGCAGCCTGCGGCTTCCTCAAAGGCAATTCTGAGTGCTGAAGACCTCGCACAAGGATGGCACCTCGGAGCATTCTGCTTAAAAAGCACCTTTATTAGAGTTGTGATGACATCGTTGGGGGCGCAACTCCATGAGTCCAGCAAAACACAGATGTGGGCATTTGGTGGCCCACAGCCGGAGCAGCAATGGGGTGGAGCAGGTTCCTGCTGGAAAACAGATCCTAACCCTGGGTGTTCACTGCTGGCACGCCACGGCCCGAGGATGGCCCTGAGGAGTTTACAAGGAGGAGGTGTTTTGCTTTAGCTTTGTTTTGTTTTCCTGCTTTTTGTACCACCACCATGGTTTGTCTCTGTTTATTTATTTATTTGCAGGCGTGCAAGCTTGTGAACAAAACAGCACCAGGCTTGCAAGGGGAAACAGAGGAAGAGAGAAAAACCTCTTTGATATTCCCTTCCCATGGGAAGACTCAGGCTTTGTTTTAAAGGTGAGCTGCGAAACATCATTTTAAATGAGAACAGCCTGCAGACAATGACAGGTTTGAAAACAAAACAGCAGAGCCTCAGGGGTGGGCAGGGGTGCCCTGGTCTTGGGGAGCGGAGCCTGGAGGAGCTGCACGTGGCCGCGCTGCCTGCTCCACTGCAGCATCCCTGCATCGCTCCATCCCCATCGCTCCATCCCTCCATCCCCATCCCTCCATCCCTCCATCCCCACGAAGGCTGCACGAAGGAACCCAGGAGCCCGAGGATGGCTGGGGCAGCCCCTGCCCTGGGCACTGCCCTTCCTGGTGCTGCAGTGGGAGCCGCACAGCCCGGCACTCCGCTGGCCAAGCCGTGCTCTCCATGCCTAGAGTGCTGCTGAGGGGCTAGGAAGGGCAGCCCATGGCCGGCTCCTCTCTGCAGAGCCTCTCTAGAGCTGCGTATTTCTAACAACTGCATTTTCTTTATCAGTTTCAAGCACTGTATTTATTTCAGGTGTCCCCGTTTGGAGCAGGAGGGCAGCGTTACAGAGGGATGTTGCGCTGGTGCTGGTCCACAGACGCTGCCCCCAGCCCAGAAGCCCAGCCCCAAAAAGGAGAACCCTATGACTGCAGTGGGGCTGGGGGCTGGGGGTCCTGTCCTGGGGCAGGCTGGTCCTCAGCTGCCACTGGGAAGAGGCAATTCCTTGGTGAAGTGCAAGGAGAATCCCATTGCACCTCGTCAGGTGTGACAGCTGCCAGAGCATGGTTTGTTATGGATGTTTTTCATCGCAGTAAATCAAGGAGAGAAAATGGCCAGAAAGTGGCCTGGCGGTGACGACCAGGACATCGCGGGCAGCCCAGGAGCAGCCTCGCTGCTGGCCCCGAGCCTCCCAGTGGAGCCTCCCCAAACCCTCCCGGCTTTGGTGGCCTCGGTGCGCACCTCGGGCACTGGCACCTCTTCTTCCACGGCGCCGTGAGCCCTCACCGCACGTTTAATTCCTAAATGTGAGCAACGGGAGGTGCGTGGACCTCTCCCCGCGGCGCTGAGCACAAACAGGACAGGGCTGGGCCAGCGCCCGGAGCAGGATGTGACCACTGAGCGGAAGGCAGCCAGGCTGGGCTATTTTTATGACCCAAGCAGAGAGACACGAAGATTAATCAGCCAGCCCATGGGGGGAAAGCTAAGCTGGGTTCTAAATTCTTTGGTGCCCGTAATAACTCAGGTGAGTCTCTTTGTTCTCCTGAGCTGTAATTTCTCACTTGACAGACAGCGTCCCTTGAACAAAACAGCCGCGTCCAAACACATCGCTCACCCTAAAACAAGACCGAGCTCACCCCGGCGCCTCCTTGCCCCAGTTCACAGTTGGAAGTGTTTCTCCCCGCAGGAGGCTCCGGGAGCAGTTTGGCTCAACACCGCTGCCCCGGTGCCAGCCTAGGACCCAGGTCTGCAGCCCGGTTAAAGCTTAAAGCCGTGGGGAAGTGAAGCCTCTCACTGCCCCCTGCCCGGCGCTGCCCTTGCCCTGGGCTCCACGGGCTCCACAGCCCCATCCCTGCCAGCCACGGCTCCGTTTTCCCTTTTTCCCTGCTCCCGTGCTCCCCAGCACCAGGAGGCGGGGGCCGTATCGGCTCAAGGCTGCCTAAAGAGGCTTATGCTGACTATTTACCTTTGCAAGGGTCTATTTTTGGCCGCTGGCTGCAGCTAATGCAATGAACAGGGCAGCAATTCAGGAGAGAAGCCACACGAGGGTCATTGTTTCTAAGATTCACTTCACTACTTTGCAAGGGCCAGATTCATCTTTTTTTTCTTTTTTTTTTTTTTTTTTTTTTTTTTTCTTTCCTTTTCTCTTTTCTCTCTTCTCTTCCACCCAACACAGACGGGTGCTGCAGCCCCAGCTCCGGCCTCACTCTGGCTCCTTCCCTCTGCACCGCCGCTGGGTGACATGGCCAGAGGGAACCACGACGTGCTGGCAAATCCACCTTCACAGAGCCATCACCTCCCACCACTTGTTTCGTCTCTCTCTCGTTCTTGCTCACCGCTGTCGGAGCCTGCCCAGGTTGCGTGAAATTTGAGAAATTTCTTGTGAGAGGCTGGGGCAGGGCTAGGGCCAAGCGGTGCTCCCAAGCCCTGGCTGCTGCTGGAGGATGCCCCTGTGCAAGACGGGCTGCCCAGGAGAGATGCTGTGCCCAGCTGGGACGGGGCTGAGCTGCTCTTAGAGCTCCCCACTGCCCTCTGACATAAGATTTAAAGTGGACACGGAGCATGAATTAATAACAGCATCACAACAACCAACCAGGCTGGACCTGGAACCAGGTTACTCAGGGCAGGAGCAGTCGCAGCGAGCCATCAGCTCTGTGGGCTCTCTCCGACCTAGGGAGGGGAACGTAGGGCACTGCAGGAGGGAAGCTCGCAGCAGGGAGCACACGGACACCTGGAGGGACCCAGGGGTGGCACCAGGCTCAGGGGAGCCGTGGGGGGGGGTGGCACACCGATCCTATAGCAGTGCTCCCACGCAGCCGAGTGCTGCCTCCAACAGAAAGGCAGCTTTTCCACGTGTGGGAGAACTGCAGCAGCCTTTAACTAAACAAATCCTGAGTGATTTCCACATTGCTGAATGACATTTTAATAGTGGAAAAATAACGCTCGAAATTATCTACTTCATCTCTTCCCATTGTCTTCTACTGGCTGGGCACGGCTGCTGCAGCAAAACCAGCTCCGGATCTTCTGGTCGGTGTTTGCTGGTGCCTCCCAGCCGCCTGCTTACAGCCTACATTTACACGAGAATTTGGAGAGCTCCGGGCATCCCCAGGCTGAAAGCAGTGGGGCCTGGTGGGAGCAGCCCAGCCCCAGCCCCAGCCCCAGCCCAGCCGCAGCCAAGCCCCGTACCTGACCACCCGGAGCAGCACCCAGCCTGCCCAGCAACGTGCACACAAATGCCTCACACAGACTTTTATTATTCACTCAAACGTCATAAATCTCCAAGAACTCCCTCCTTCACAGCGGCTCTTTGGCGTGGTGCCTGCCCAGGGTCAGGTCTTGGTGCCCTTCCAAAAGCACGGGGGATGTCCCTGGTGTCACCTGAAGGGTCCCCGCTGGCAGCCTCACCTCCCGCAGGGGCACAGAGCACGACTTTTAGAGAAATCTGCTTGTCCAGTGCAGGTGCCTGCCGCAGCACGGTGAGGGCACGGGGTTTTCCATGGGTGCTGCAAACAAACAAACGCGCCCGACAGGCAGAGCTGAAAGGTGAGCACGTGCTGCCCACCCTGCCGGGGCGGCACCGCCGTGTGAGGGAAAAGAAAAGACTGGGAGGCTTCATACGCTGTGCAGGAGGAAGCAGCGGAGGCAGCACAGCCCACGGCCACCTCACCTGTTTTCATTCCTAAAGGAAGCAATTGTCCAGGCTGTTTGGCACAAGCTTCGGCTCAGGACACACCTTTGGATGCCACTGGGTTTGGTAAGGTCGTTCCGTGTTTGGCAACGCAGCTGCGCTCAAGGCCCCCGCTCCACTTCGTGGTGGCAAGTTTTATAGGAGACAGCAGTGGAAACGTGCTGTCCTTTCAAAAATACTTCAAGGGAAACGTTTATCAAAGACAGCTCAGCAAAAATGGCTACAACAAACCAAGTTTTGTTTTCATTTCAGTATGGGGAAGAGTACGTACCACCGGCACCAGCTGAGGAGCCCAGAGTCCAGTTGGAGCACATTTGCTACAGCCTATAGCAAAGATAAATAAGGACAGAAAAAATGCTGCAATTGAGAAGATCCAAAGGGAACAGATTGGGAAATACACTGGGAAGAACAGAATTCCATAAACAAGTGTCTGAAGTCTGTGGCTGTCAGCATAAAGAAGCAGCTTTGCTGTAATGGCATGAAGAAGTAACCTTGGAAAGGTGGCTGTGAAATCCCCTGCCTACAGAACAGCAGTGCTTTAAGACCTGTGGCTGTACACTTTCTGTACAAATGGAAAAAAAAAACAACAAAACACATTAAAAAGCAACAACATGCCGACAGGCATACCGTATAAAAAAAGAAAGAACGAGAGGCAAGACCTTTAGGTGACCAGTTCTTCCTCGCCAACAGGGCAGATACCTTCCCTGCAATCCCAACAGTTTGCAGGTTTATTTTTGGCAGATTATAATTAAAATGATCGTCATGGCTTTAGAGAGAAGCCACTAAGCTGCATTGTTTTGGTTGAAGCAAGAGTGCATGTGTGCTCTGATGAAGGGACACTGCAGAGAGGCTTTGCCACAGCTCTGCTCCTTCCACCTGACCCACAAATGCTGCTGGTTGTACTTGGCCCTCTTTAGTGTTCTCATTTCTCATCAGCAAGTAACAAATTTTGGTTGCTAACCAGTCGAATCCCAGAGGCAGAATAAAAAGTCTTTGTTAAGGTCTAGAAACACTTCATGTTTCTAAGAAAACCGAATCCAAACTCGCGCAGGCACTGCTCCTGGTTTGCTGCGTTTCGCTCAGGTTGCACCACCGTGCACTGACGTTTGCTTCTCCTGAACCCACTCCTCTTCCATTCTTCACCTTTCAGTCCTCCCAGGAGCCTCACCAAGCCATCTCTCCATTTTTCTCTTCAGCATATTTCCCTATGAACATCCTTCCTGCCCTTCCCTCTTCCGCTGTCGCGCCTTGTTCCTCTCCGGCTATTTTCGGAAGGCGAAGACGTCCCGTGTTCTCGAGCCTCTCTTGCCTTCGCTTCCTGGTTTAGGAGAAGATTCTTCCGCCAGCCCCCCGTACGGGCAGCTCTCAGACTCTGGGTGATGGCCAGAGCACTCCACGGCGGGGATGAAGCCGCTGTCCCACATTCCTGTCCCGCACAGCTTGCACAGGTCGTGCAGGCTGCAGGGGATGCGGGGTAACAGGTGGAACTGATAGAGCAGGCTCCTCGCCTAGAGAGGAGAGAGACAAAGTCATTTCCTCGTCACCAGAGGGCGAGTCCAAAGCACAGGGGTTGCCAGCATGCTCCTGTCTATGCCGCAGCTCAGCTATGCTCCAGGAGCCAAAACTTCCTCCTGAACTCAAAGCTGGAGGTTAAACAAGGCACTGGAGATGCTGCCAGCAGGTGAATTTAGAAGCAGCTGCTCTCAGCGCCGGATTCCTGCCTCTCAGCAGCACAACATGTGGATTTGCTGCTCAGCTGCAGCAGCCCAGGCTCAGTGCTGCTGCTTGCGGTGTGTCTCAGTGCCTGTAAGGTTGTTCTGCTGCCCAGCCCCACTGCAAGCTCAGCCCCTGGCCTCCCTGCACAGAGAGCAGCACGGGGAGAGGTGGTGCTGTGCCCGCTGCAGCACCCTGCGTGTTCTGTGGGCATCCCAGCCCCAGATGGACTGGGGACCCTGGCACAAAGATGACCAGCTCTGTCTGCTGATTCCCTGAGCCTGTGCAAGGGTCACCCCAACTGTGCTGTGACCTCCTAGGCGCTCTGTAACTACCTCTTTTTTTAATTTTATTTTTTATTATTTTTTTTTTTTCTGCAAAACTGCTTCCAAGCAAATAGCAGCATCCTGTTCTTCCAGGCTCCAGACAGGAAGGGGCATACAGAAGATTAAGCATCAGTCCCTCATTTTCTCGATGCTCTGATTCATCTCCTGGACCTGAGACTTGGCCCCCATCAGCATGCAGGCGTTTACCTTCCTGAGCACGAGTTCTCCGTTCATGTGCATAGCCAGGTTGCTGAAGTGCAGCAGCATCTGGTCAGTGGCCAGCTGCTGCTCAATGACATCGTCCCCGTAAATCACCACGATGGCCACGCAGATGAAGAGGTGGAAGTAGTCCGTCTGCAAGGAGAAAACAGGGGCTGGATTACAGCAGGTGGAGGCAGAGACCTGGCAGAGAGCTCCCCACCCTTCACAAGCGTGTCCTTAGCAGGGATTTTCTGCTCCTGGCAGTTCTGCCTAGTGGTACTCAGAAAGTGAGGTGCTGGTGGATTCTGAATCACGGCTGAGTCAAAGTCTCTTGCCTTTAAAGTGTGGGAGCATGGCTTGGACCACAGCTTTCAAAGCAGAGACTGTCCAGCTGTTAAAGAGAAGTCTGAACCTCAGAAGTGGATGCTCAGCACTTTCTGGAAAGCCTCCTTTTAGAGCCCAGACATTCCCAAGTAAAAGAAGCAGGCATCCGTCCTTCTGCTCGACAGATATACACCTCTGACAGTTACAGGCCCTCTGTAACATCTACAAACACAAATGTATCTACTCCAAATCTCCCTGAGACATCTCACAGGTTGCTGGAAAATGCCCAGAGGGAATTAAAGCTGCTGAGAAAGACTTCTCAGGTGTCATTGCTGCAAATGGTCAGAATACTTACGGAATTCAGTACTATGGCAAACAAACTGTATTTTAAATGAAGTGGGGACCATCTGAGCTGATTGGTCTGTGGGCAGTAAAAGAGCCCCCCAATTCCTTAATGAGGCAGCTCCATTGCAGTTTGCATCACTTTTGGTTTCTTTCAAGGTGAGCCACAGCAAATGAAACTAGAGCATGGCTAAGGCTAAAACGTGTCATAGTCCCAGGCAGGAAAGTGTTGTAGAAGAGGGAATGCTTGCAATCAAACTTATTTTGGATGCTTTGGTACTACGAGCCTTTAGGGAAATCCTGCAACACTCGCTGAGAGGGTGAGGACCCAGCAAAGGGCAGGCTGCTGCCCAGCGTGAGCCGTCCCCTCCTCCCAGTGTCTAACCTGGTAGTGAGCCCAGCACGCCTCCCACATGCGCAACGCCTCAGCGTCGGGAAACTCCCGTTTAAAACAGAGCAGGATCCAGCGGTGACAGAAAAGCATCTGCAGGCCATCCTCTCCCAAGGAAGAAAGGTGCTGGTAGAAGCGTGGGTGCATGAGCCGCAGCAGCTCCCGCAGGTACATCTGGAAAAGATGCTCTCAGCTCAGCCGCTGCCTCGCGGCGCCCTCGCCACCCCGCGAGCCCCCCACCGCGTGCCAGACCTGGGCTCCAGCAGGGCTGGCCCCGGCTCTCCCTTCTGACAAAAAGCTCCAGCTTGCACACAGGCCTGTTCGCAGCCAGCTTGTTACAGCACAGCCAGGAGCACGCTTGGGTCTGTCATTAGTGGCTGGAGCTCCCAGGCCACTGCAGCTATTTCACAAGGAAGGAGGGAGGGTGAAAAGAAAATCCCATGACAGCTACATTGTGAAAAGAAAGAAGGGGAGAGAGTCAGGCTGAGGGAAGCAGCAGTGAAGCTAGAGCCTTAAAAACTCGAGAAAAGAAAGGACGCAGCTATCTACAATATTTCATTTCAGCAGAAGCTGAGCAATGTGGAAATGATTTTAGAAAGGCTGACTGTTACAGGCACATTACAGAGATAAATCTGTACGTTAACTAACTGCACCTCACCAGCAGCGTCCCAGGAGGTTTCCACCACGGGTTTACCACTTTAAATTGGTGCCATCGTGACCTGGACAGGATTGTTCAGGTTTAAAATGTATTTTCCAGGATTTTAACCAGTAAACTACTGGCATTAATATTAAACTAAAAGTTCCCATTTTTGAGTAAGGTGACATTACTTCAAGTAATTCTGTCAGATGCACAAGGCTTTTCATTTGGACATCATCAAAATAATCTATTAAAAACGGGCTTCAAAATGGGCTTCATAAAAGCCCATGAAGAGGGCTGTAGTTCAACTGCTCTGCCTCATTCACACCAAACGCCCCTAAAGCAGGAAAGAAACAAACCAGTGAGCCTTCTGTCTGCCTGAGAGCAGTGCAGAGAAAAAGAAAGCACCATCCTAAATACATTTGATCATAAAAGATTCCTTGAATCAGCATCCTTCAGTGTAGCCAAGGCAATTTTACTCTGACAATTTATTGGCTGTAACTGCTCCTGGAGTGCCTCAGTCACCTGGGATTAATTTTATCCATCAGGTATTTTGTAGCCTCGGAGTGTGATTCTGCATGCTGGAACCAACAGCCCAGACAACTGCTTTATGGTGGGTATTCTTCTAATCTGACTGGGAAAGGAGAAGTTAAGGAAAGGACTAAACAGCTCAGCACTCAGCCTCACCAGTTGTTTCTCCATATCCTCATCCCGGGGTGAGCTGATGAAGATGGTGTTCTGCATCAATCCCACAAAGCACCAGAATGTATCCGACTCATCTAGGACCTCTGCCAGGATTGGGGCTACCAGGTCAGACATTCCTTGGGAATATCCAATTGTTGGGTTAAATACTGCATAGTTCAGCAAGATCCTCCTGGAGAAGACATGCAAACGGAGAGGTGAGATGTGGAGAAGGCTCATCACAGCTTAGTGTGTGCCCGACCCTTCCACCCCAGCTCCTATAATACAGGCTGAGTCAGGCCAAGTGCAAACGGGTAACAGATCACTGCTGCTGTCTAAAAGATTATCTTGCAATTCCACCTGGAGGCTTTTTGAGCACCTGTACAGCATCTTGCATCCTGCAGAACTGCCTTCCCTACAAGAACTGTATGCAGAAGCATAGCAAAGATAGGCAAACACTAGGATTACAGCATTTTGGATTAGTTCGGAGGGACTCCTTGCTGAATGACAAGGACTCTGAACAGCATACAGCAGTTTGAGGCAGTGGATTTGAACAGAACGCCTTAGGCTCTTGTTTTCCAGCTGGAGGCAAGCCCACTGGGAGCAGTGCAGTAGGAACAAGCACCACAGTTTATCTCAGCTACAAAGGCACACAACACTATTGTAAGGTGCTGTAACACGTACGGATAACCCCTGCTGCAAATATCAGTGTGATGGAAAAAACTCCAGCAGAAGGCTTTGTGTACACAGACACCAGAGTATAAAAAGAAAATGAGAATTTACATAGACTAAGATGACAAAAAATGAAGGAGCCATGGAGAAGGAGAGGTGATGCCTACACTTCAAATCATGAGGCTCCGAGCCATAATGTTCGATAAAATCCAGCGGTTTCATAGGCACACATTTACAAGTCACACAGCCATGAGGCAGTCTGTGCTGGTCCTCCACCCCAGCAGGAGAACCACAGACCAAAACAACTGCCCACGACCCCACTACAGCACTCACTACCCCCCACAGCCACAGAAGGCTCACACCTCTTATATGCCTACGTATGAATGGAAGCAAGGTGATAGGAGCAGGGTTATCATATCGTCAAGTAAATGGCTAAAGAAGCAGTGAAAGTACCAGGTAAAAAGTGGTTTTGCATTGTTTGGTACCAGCCACTATATGTATGATGCTCTTCAGCATTCCCAAATCAGCGACTGAGGCAACCTGGGCCAGGGGGATTAATGGGTTTTCTACACTAGGATCAGCCACTTCACCTCATTGTTTCCACATTTGGGTTGTCCTCCCCTCGAAAGAACTGGTTGCTGCGGTCAGTCCTCACAACATCTTTGTCTACCGTGAACTGTACTTTACGCCAGAAATCCTTCTGCTCATCTGGAGTCATTGAAAGCCTGAAAATTGAACAGCAACAGGAGTATGTTGACACAATAGGAATATGATTGCCACAAGGAACAAACAGATTTATTTCTGCTTCAATTTTAAGAGAAAAACTATTTCTGTGCAGAGCTTTCTCACCAGCTGAAAAAGAGACAAGAGGTCTGCCTGGAAGAGCACATTTTCTGTCCAAAGGGATTACTAGAAGGAGCTTCTTGAGTTATGAATGGGATGACACGACATGCTTTCTGTGATAAACTCCACTTCAGGAGCAGCTGAAAATGCTCTCCACTGCTCCTTGTGGGTGGCACACCAGAACTCACCACTCTGTTTTGACCGACTCCTAATTAGTATTATGACTGTCTCTCTCCAGCTTAAATTTACACAAGTAGTTTACAATGTACGGTTATTGCAGAAATTACTTCCTTGAATTAGATATAACGTCTTCCCTATTTTTACATCCAGATATATCTATAAAGAAACATGCGCTCCCATTTTCACCTCTAGTGTGCTAAACCAAGCACGTCAAGCTTGTAGTCTGAAATAAGCTTCCCTACGTGGTAGTGGTGAGCCTGTTTCAAGAAGCCAGGTAAGATAATACTTGAGCTATATGGTATTAGCTCCAGATCCACACAAGGTCAGCTGTGCATGCCAACACCTCCTGCACCCAGCACTTCTGTCCAGGCAGAGACTCTGCAAGTCACTTGTGGTGCCATTCTACAGACCTAAGGAGAGATGAGCAGCAGAGGCTGAATCTATTACCTTTTCTCCTGGATCTCAAAGTATTCTTTCCTCTTCTGTACTCTCAGCGCCTCCCTCTCTTCAGAGGTGGACTCATAGCTGTAGTAGTGCAGCAGGAAGGGCCACACCTCCCCACGGATGGAAATATCAATCCCACCGAAGAAAATGGCCTGGAAGAAGGAGCAAAAGTTATGACTGGCTCAGTTTTAACACTCCCAAAAACAGCAACAAGAAACTGCCTGCTACTATGCTTTGGTGGCTTTGCAGTTCTTTCCTGACAAGTGACGCCTTGATTCAAGCTCCTGCAATTTGCACATGTTTAGAGGGAAAGTGCTGGCCTTCTATTCCCAGACGAGACACAAATCGGGCTCATTTCAATGTCAATAACCCCCCCTGGAGAGGCTCTATGATTAACGTGTCGTTCTCATGTCACGGCTTAATCCCCAATCTTGGAGACACTGCATTTCACTGCAAACTCCTCTCTCAGGACCTGGACCCAGTGCTCCCCTGCAAGCCCTGCATTTTTTCATACAGGAATCTCAAGTTTTCTTTCTCTGATTTGTCCACGCCACTGTTGCAGAGGTGCCAACCACCCGACACTTTGGTTTGCTCATTCCAGCGGGCTGCAGGAGCCGACAGCACGCCCTGCTCCATCACTGAGGTGCTCCACTGCCCTGCAGCAGACCCAGCTGTGGTCCCAGCAAGACGTCCAGCCAAGCACTGGGAGCAAGTCCTTACGCTCTCAAACACCCAGCGCTTGCCCCCAGCACGAAAGCAAACGATCGCAGCTTCCACCTGGGGACTCACACTCCATGGCAGGAGAGAGCAGATCAAAAGAGCAGCAGCAGCAGCCACCCCTCTCACCTTCTGCAGCTTGTACTCCTCCTCCACCTGCCCAGATTCGTTCAGGTGATTGAGCCAGGCAGACACGTCCAGACGCCTGTAGGTGTTCTCCTCCGGGTGGGTCTCCGAGGAAGGCAGCTTAGGACGACGGATGGAGAATTGCATGCACGTTTTCTCATCAGTAAGCTGCTGAATGGGGGAAAACGAAACAAAACAAAACAAAAAATGGAGGCAAGAGCCAGAGATAGCAGCAGAGTATGAAACCCAGCCATTTTCAGAGCAGGAAAACCTTTTTGCATGGTTCTTGTAGGATTAAGCACTGAGGCGCAGTACTTGGAGAGTTTTTTTTTTTTAATTCCAATCATTACAATAGCGAGAGTGATTAGAATAATTAAAAATCCGAGTACCACAAAACAGCTTCATCTTTCAAAAAAACTGTTTCCATTCCTCCCCCAGTCTTATCCCTGACCTGAAACTGAATTAATGCTGCTTACAGCAAAACTTCACCCTGCCAGGAATGCCTGCAATAAATTACATATGATTGGCCATATACAAAGGGATTGCTGTTAGGCAAGCAGGGAACTGCACTGCCAGGCTCTCTAAGGGCACTCATGATCCCAGTGCAAGACTGCAGCTGACATTTAATTTAAAAATCAAAGGTTGTTCAATGCAAAAAGTGAGCCCATGCGACCATAATAAGAAAAGCAGCAGGGGGCTCTGTGGGAAGGATGGAAATTTAAAAATCACTGTTTCTAATAAGCACATACAGTATCTTAAACAGATAATTAAAGAGCTCTTATCACATTTGTATGTAGATTGAACAAAATATGGCAAGATGCCTTGTCAAAACATTTTCAAATGCAGTGTGCTATGCTTCACAAAATGGATGAAAGACTCTGACAGAATTTCAGACCTACCACTGCAGATTCCCAACCACCTTACATGCCTAAAGCACAACGCTGACCTGTCTGGTTGCCGTATCTAGCAAAATAACTACCTAAGCGAGTTTTCTGGCTTATCTTCCCCCATATTCCACAGGCAGAACAGGAATGGAGGAGAAGAAGTGAGTACAAGAGAGATCTCACATCTGACTTGCAGCTGCCTCCTAACAACCTCCAGCACGTTGTAGCTTTCTGCCCGACTCGGTGACGCGAACTCGCAGCTTCGTTTCTCCAACACCTTCTGCTGGCTGAGAACCTGAGCGTGAAACACCTGCGGTAAAGAAGCTCTTTGCCTTGTGAACCTGGCCAGGTACCTGGTCCTTGAGATGGGTCTCTGTGCAGTACTTCCACTGCTGGAACACCTCCGACAGCTTATCCAGGCCACCATGGTGAAAATGGAAGATCTTGTACTGACTCTCCCGGCTTGCAACAACCAGTTGTCCACAGGTGCAGGCCTCATCGCTGTGGGACAAAACAAGCAGGGAGAACAACCCACGTTCATTTCCCAGGACAGGGAGAGGCCCAGCAGAAAGGGGAGACATCAGATGACAGAGAGTGGAAAGCAATCACAAAGAAGTTTTCCCTTCAAATGGGGCAGAAATCATTTTACAGCTCTGGATGTGGCCATAGTGACCAGAGGACTGTTGCAAGTTCATTTCCTCAAGGAGCTTCACTTGTGCCTGGCAACTTCTACCTTTCCACCACATCAAGGAATTACATTTTGTCTTCCCCAGAGAACAAAAAAAAACCAACACAAGGAATCTGTCCCAGCAACATTAAGCCAGCTCCCAAAGTCAGCTCCTAGAGATGCGTGGACTTGGTCATGCACAGCACTCTAAGGAAGCAGAGAGTGAGAGCAACAAGAGAGAGTAAAAATGTTTTGAAACGTTGAAACATTGAAAAATGTTTTAACTGCTGTAATAATTTGGAAGCTCATTGAAGAGACTAAGAGCAGTTAGACTCTAGGGGAACCCCAGTGAGGGGCTAGCAAGATAAAAGGTACCACAGGCAAAGAGATGTTCTCCACACCTCCAGGATATTTTAAGCGTGTTTTGGTGAGACAGCTGAGAGAAGCATCAGCACCTTCACCTTGCTCGGGAAAAAAAAAAATCCTTTAGGCCCCATTACTGTAACCCAGAGGCTCTCCTGGGGGAAGCTGACACTCGCTTTCCTGGAGACGACCACTAGGGAAAGCCTTCCAGCGAGCACTGCAGAAGCCACCTGCCTGCACCGAGCCCGCTGCGCACTGCTCCAGGGCACGCAGCCACCGCAGAGAAAACCAAGACGTTACCTAAAGAAAAGGCGCAGGGATCTCATCTGTCCCAGGTCCACTCTGAAGACACCGCAGATCTGCTCGAGGGCAAAGACCTTCTGCTGCTCATCCCACCTGGCGCTCTGCGTTTGCCCGTTGTTCTCCTGGGACTGGGCACTGGTGTCGAGGCTGGACGCGGAGCTGGTGGAGCAGGTGGTGCGGTTGTCACACGTGTCCCTGCAGACGAGAGCGTGGAGGAGAAAAGCGCAGCCAGAGACTGCAGTTACACGCAGCAACCACGGGTGCTACAAGCTACAAATCTTCTGGCAGAGCTCTGAGATTAGAATGCAGCGCAGGTCTAAGGAATCAATAACAGACAGCCTACGAGAGCGATTAAATTATTTTTATTTAAATCAACTCCCTACTGTCCCAGCAAACGGTCCTAGCTTTGGTCTGTTGTGAACAGAACTGGGGAGAGTGAAAACCACCCCAGAAAACACTTCTGGGAGGGCAAGCTGTGAGCAGCTGCTTGCCCCCAGCTGAAGCAAGCCCTTAGCAGGCAGCTCAGCTGCTCAGCATGGGCACGGAGGGACAGGGACATCCACGTTTGGCACACGCTCTCCAAACCCAGTGAGATCTAAAGATGCTTCCCCTGAACTTCCCCATTGCAAATGGGCCCAACAAGCCTGGATCCATGAGTGTGACCTTCAGACAAATGGTTTCCATTTGAAAACTTGGGACTTTGGAGAGTTTTGGAGTGGGAAATCACACATGAGCTCTTTCACCCACCACAAAGCAGGGAAAGGGAATCCATCCATGCTCCAGTACGCCAGGAGCCCACAGCGCCCCAGATACCTACCTTCATGAATAAACTGAGTCTAGATTAAAAAAAAACACATGCCCGCCACCAGCCCCAATCCCAAAAGAAAAATATCACTGCTTTGAGAATTAAGTGAATCTGAAACTGTGACCCCTTGATTCTTAAAAAGGCCAATACATGTGAACAATCTCAGCGCAAGCTCTGAATGGGTTCCGCTGTGAAATCAGGGTTTGCAAAACAAGGCGAGTAGCAGGTATAAAGACAGCCCCCTGCAATGCCACTTTATGCAATGTTTTCTAATCCGCTTATCTAACAATGTAGGCACTGAACGCTGAAAATCACACACTCAGCATGCATCTGCAGCACACCACATCAGTATGCCTTCCAAGCCTGGCTGCAGTGCCTCTTCCACGGGGACGAGCCCCCTTTGCAGCATCTCCCCATGGTTCAGGTCATTGCATTCCAATGGCCAGGTCCCCGGACATCCCACTTAGTTGTGGGTTAAATTTTTAACCGAGCCCCTGCGAGCAGCCTAGTTCAAACGGTTGGCTCGAAACCTCAGCGCCCACACGCATGGGAAATAAATCCCCAAGCCCCCTTCTCGAGGTCTGCAGCATTATGTAGATGAGACCAAGTCTGTCTCACTTTCAGCTCAAAGAGCGGCCCTGCTCGTGAGGTTCTGCTACTCCGTTTTTTCAGGAAGCATCAAAGCAAAATGGCATTCAAGCCATGCTGAGGTGGAGGTCTGAGAAGTGACAGGGCGGTATCGCCATGTGAGTGGAGATCACGGGACAGACACGAACTCGCTCAAAGAAGAGTGACGGCAAGATGCTGGGAGACGTCCAGTCTCACACAGCCACACGCCATCACCTGCAACTTGTGAACTTTTCCTTGAAAACTGTCCCAGCCTTTGTGAAAAATCAAGCGTTATTTTCAGATAAAGCTGCAAACCATAACACTCCTAAACCACTCTGTATCTCATGGTAATGCAAAAGCAATAGGAGCCCCAGTGCAAGACACCCGTGCTGGCCGGCTGGCTGTAAGCAGCTGGTATTTGTGAAGCAACGCTCAGGAACAGCCACAGCTGGTTACACAGGATTTTCCTGGAAGAGATGACTCAAACGAGCTTAAAGACCAAGCAGAGGCAACCAATTTTCTAAAACTCTTGCAAAGATGCACTGGTCGGTGTGACAAGGAGCTGGAGGACTCTGCGGGAGCGCTGTCGCGCGGTTCCCTCCTTGCAGCAGGCAGCGAGCCCACGGTTTGAGAGCATCACCTCGAGCTGCCAGCGGGGAGCGAACGGCCAAGAAGTGGTGTTTAGGGATAGAAATGGTATTTAGGGATAGAGCTGGGTGGCCTTGCTTGGAGCTGGGGAACCGTGCATCTCCTGAAGATGGGAGGGCATTGCCAGCTGCACAACCAAAACCTGCTCCAGGCGCGCCGTTACCTACCCATAGCTCAGAGGCTGCAGAGCCCAGCACAAAGGTGCTGGCACCATTCTACTTTCTGGAAATGTTTCTTCCAGACAAATATTTACAGTTCGCTTTTAGTCACTAGTTACAAGCTCGTGCAGGCATTGACACACAGAGAAGCCATCTGAAGCAACACGTGTGCCTGGATTTACCCCTTCTGGACAGCAAAAAGCCAACAAGCACGAGCACAGTGCCTTCGTGTGTGCAGCTCAGGGAAACTTCAGTGCTTTCACTGATGTAGGGTACAAAATCTGAAAGAGACACCTGTGCACACCATGCCCTTTGGAGAGATCTACAAACACGTCCGTCCATATTTAGCAGAGATGCAGAGAGTGCCACCTCATACACTGTGTGTAGCATCACTTTTTCCTGTATATAACCATTGGAAAACAAGTAATGAAAGTATTCAAAACTGTTGGCCTTATTTTTAAAAGAATTTTAATATTGAGATCATTCTGTTCCTAAGTAGCAACAAGTAGTATGCTCAGTGCTAATTCTGTGGCTGCTGGGGAGTCCTCTATCCAGGCACACAAGATATGCAGACACAGGGGAAGAATTTTCCAATTTATTATTTATGAAGGCCAGACTATTATATCTGTTAGATGAGGGATTTACACCAGTGCCCTGCAAAAGAAGGGAGCTGAAGCATGGCAAGGCAAATAGCTGGAGGAACAGTTCAGAGAGGCTTTGGGTCACGGCATCCAGGAAAAGCAGACCACCAGCTAGCGGGCAGCACCGCTCAGCAACACGGGAGAACAAGTGCAAGGCCCCACGGGAACAGAAGGGACAGGGAACAAAATTACAAGGAGGATTAGCAAAACCTGAGGCAGGAACCCCATGGCCATAGGCATGGTTCCAGTTCCACCTTCCTCCTTGCTTAAGCCCCATTACTCTCTTGTCACTAAATACATCTCGTGCTTGCCGGTGAGCAAGATCCGGCGGTGATGTATTTTCTCAACAATCAGCTGCAGCAATCAACCTCAGCTACATTCCAGGAGCTTCAGCAAGCCCCTGAGAAGGAAAACGCCCGGGTGCCACCGGTGCCATCCTCCTGCTGGGGCAGGATCCTGCTCCGGCCCCACACGGGTCGGCGAGCAGCAGCAGGGCTGAGTTACTGCTCGGTCAAAGCATTTCTGTGCTCCTACGGCATAAAGAGACACGAAACCAATTATTATTCCTGTTACAGAACCAGGGCAGAGACCTGCACCCATTACACGGGAAGGCTATTTCAGCAACAAAGATCTAATAACTCATTTTATGACAAGATGTGACAAATGTAATTATAAGAGGGAAAGGGGCTGAAGATCTCGGCAGGGATGTGGCTGTTATCTAAGCTGTCGGCGTCCACCAGCCGACTCCCAGAGCCTCTTGCAAGAGCCAAACCTTCACCAGTTGGCTCTCCAGCACCACGGTACTAAAGCACGCCTTCAGTAATAACAGCTTTCCCTTAACAGCCCCGTCTATTCCTGCACGCCGGCTTGTGAAGCGTCGTTTACAGACAATAAGTATCATCATAATGTATGAGCGTCCGTGTAATGGGAATTACATGCCCCTTTTCCTCCCCAGGGGTTAGCGTTTCTCTGTTTCTCCACTATTCCGCACAGGCACTGACCTTCCAGGTTCCTCTTCTTTCCAGCAAGGTGAAACAGCTCACGGCAGCATCAGCTGCCTAAACCGCCCATGACAGATAGCTCCAAATAAATAATCCATCAATAAAAGTTCAAAGCTATCCTGAAATGCCTAAAAATTTAGTGTAGCAATTGCACCCAGAGAGGCTGTGCTGGGTAGCTGGAACCCAAATCTATTGTTCTGATAAACAAGAGAGTGTCCTTGACAATATGCATGTATAACGATTTGTGAAACATGCTGATTTCAGCAATATATGAAAGAAGTGCAAAAGAAAACGGATTGGTAATTTAGAATGAAACATTTTGTCAAAATATTTCTGCTCGTGATGCTGCAGAGAAGGGATGGAAGGACACGCACAGGGCAGCACGGCCACGCAAACCCAAAGTCGACAGCAAAACCCTGCAGTCACACCAGCTACTCGCCTCTGATCAGTGTGAACTGGTAACTAGGCTAAGAACTATGTTAAACTCACCATCTGACTGAAAATATTTGGAATTTGAAGTTCCTCTGCCTTAGAGACCCCAAACAGAATCAATTTATGCTGACCTCAGTGAACAGGGAAAAAGGCATGAAGGTACTGAGCCCGGATGAAAGCCCGACCAGAATCCCTGACATTAAATGTCAAAACATCCTGGTGTGGAAGTGTACCTACACATCTGCCAACCCAAGGAAACAAACCCAACTCTATTTGTTAGGGAAACCTGTGAAAAACTGCACAGGACGTTAGGGTACAAAGTACATGAATGTCAACACGGACTTTCCAAAAGCTTGTTCCACAGGCTTGCCATTGATCTGTTTGCTTTCAAAACATAAATTTCCCCACGTTGAACTGCACTAAATGCTATTTAGTAGCTAATTAACTTTCTGTGCTGAAAACCTCCTGTAATTGCACTTCTTTCACCTTTTTTAGCCCGTGTCCTCGAGGGAACTGGAGCTGTCCTACGGCATTTGTTCTGCTCATTTCTATCTCACAGGCACAAGTTCCTTCCTGACAGCCGACTGCCAATCACCGCGCCGGAGGTCACTGGAGACCAAATTAGGAGCACTCTGCCTCTGACAAACTTGCTTTGCTTAGCTTGCCGTAAAGGGAAAATAAAAGGTTATGAAAAATAATTGTATCCTTTCATGCCCAGCACCAGCAAGCACATTCAACAGCACTTCTAAAAGTCAGAGTATTATTGCTAGTTACTCATCGTTAATGTTATTAGGGATATTCAAAGAACAAGCCGGTTTCGTCTCAAATGCGCCGGGATCCATCGCTGCCCCGGTTTGGGGAAGGAGCTCGAAGCAGGTCGGTGGCTCCAGCTGCAGACACG